TCCAACCCATGCATTCATCCCTTCATTCAGCAACCATTTAAGTTTTCCAGCAAAAAAAACGTCCAAACAAAAAGTTTCAGATTTCAAAAAATTAATTTAAAATATTTTTCTACTTATCTAAAACATATGTCTGCTGTGATAAAGAGCTGTGAATTAACAAAAAATACATGGCCCTAACTTCTGAATCTGCAGATTTTATCAATGCCTACAGTGCTATCTAGACATACTACTTACTACTACTATTCATCAGTCTAGAGTTGGCAGATGTTCTGATAATCATCATAAGCAAAGAAATCACACTAGATGTTTGCTTGAGGTACAAAAGATATATTAACGTTTAATTTTGTGAAATCATCCCTCATTTCCAAATGATGCGGTAAAAGAAAAAAGGGGCAGTGCCCATCCTCTTTTCTGTGACTCTATTAATCCTATTTTATCCCTCAAAGTTTTCCATGATAATGTGCACACACTTGCCAAAAGCAAGATATCTTCATTATTGTGTGAAATTCTAATGTCACTAGTGTTGCCTTGGTTGATTTGAGGCTACTTGTGCCACCACTGCAAGTAAAATAATTTACATCTTAAATTAAGTGAAAAGGACAAGCAATGTCCTCTGTTAACTTTTTTCATCCACCCACTTATTTGTAATGGTGGTCATGGCAAAACTCAAACATCCTGTTCAATAATAATAACTACACAGCAATTGTTACTGTTTATCAAGCTATGGTTTCAAGCCATTCTCATGCAACATCTCCTTGATAATGCCTCCATTTATACAAGATTCATAACTCTACTCAAATCTTCCAGATACACATATAGGACAGTAAAGCTTACAGGGAAATAATTGCACTCCAAAGTAAACCTGTCACTGTTTACTCCCTTTCTCTGGAATAATCTGCTGATCCCAGTACTTTTCAAGAATGTTCTCATACAGCCAGTTACACTTCACATGTCCTAAGATTTTACCCTTTTTCTCTCACTTTGAAAAAGCTACTAACATTGTTTTTAGGATTTAAGATTATTAGAATTTTTTAGTGGTTTTAGTCATTTTAGTTATGGATTCCATATTTTTAATTTGCCTCCTCCAAGATCAAATTATATTATTTGAAGTAATATTAAAGACACCTGAAAAACACATAGCAAAAATTAACTCCAATCACACATTTTAATAATATGTGAAAATACAGGCTTTCTCTAAAGGTAATGAAGCAAGAGACACTTCATAGAGACTTAATCTTAGAAAATATTTTCCTACTTTTTGTCTGGGTTTACAGACATGTTTTAAGAATTTTATCCCAATGAATGGATATTCCTTTTATTATGTTTTTTTTAATTGAGGTTCCTTACCATAAAATGTACAAATCTTAGTGTACAGCCTGATGAATTTTAACATATCCTCTTACTATGTTTTGAAACATTTTTATCATACCCGGAATAATTTACCCACTTTTTTTTCAAAAATAATTTTCTTCTCTAGGAGGGCAATTTTAGCAAAATGTATTTAAAAGAAAAGACAATAAAAGTTTAACATTTATAAACAATACCTGTTTTTATTAAAACACTAAGAAAATGAAAAATGTATTCATTCCTCACTATGTTAAAATACTGACTTTCTGATTCTAGCAAAATATAATTTTAGAACTCATCAAGACAGAATACATAAAATTGGCATACTTTTGATAGGCACACAAATTGAGAAAGCATCTTTCCCAACTGTGTTGCAGAAAATGAAATGCATCTGGTATGACAATATGGCCCAGCACGTGAACTATAATCAGTGGGAAAGAATGTGGTTTTTTTTCCAAAGCAGAACATTGTAAATAATGCAAATGCCTCAACAACAAGGCATTATTAAGCCTGTTGAAGTGTGTTTCAAAGGTATATTTGGCTAAACAAAGCATAATAGCAAAAGAGCTGGCAGGGGCATGGGGGATGGCATGGTTTGTTTGGTTTTAATCATTGTATAGCAGTGACTTCCAAATCTTTCCACAGCCATCCAAAGTGATTTTTTTGCTTTTGCTTAACATCTCCACCCAGTCAGAGTATGTACACATATGTTGTTGGGGCTTCATGCTCGGCTTGGGGATGGAGAGGTGGGGAGTGTGTTAGAGACCATGACTGATGCCAGGATCAAGCAGACAAGAAGAGAAAAATTGAGCAATTTGCCTTATTTTTGCAACCAATTTTCCTTCTTCCTTGAAAGTTATTTTTATCTAGGCAATTTGAGGATGTATTTAATGCTTTTATTGTCTTTTCTTTCATGTACATTACCCATTTGTGCTTGTGACCTCTAAATAAAACTGAAATCTGCCATGTGCTACACCCTCCCTCCCCAAGCCCAGGTATCTCCTGAGACCAGGCGCTGGGAGAGCAAGGAAAGATCTCTGAGATGTGCAAGAAGTGCGGTTCTGGGGGTGCTACAGAGCTAAGTATACTGCAGACGCTTAGAGAGTCCTCTTCTAGTTTCAGGTTCCAAATCTATTTCTTACTCTTCCTCATTCACAGAGATGGGCCAGAGCCCAGCTCCTTTGAGTTGGGCGAAGAGGTTTTGAGAGGTCTGAGGAATCCTCTTTTCTGCGCTGGTGAGAGAGTGATGTTGAAAGCTGGATTTGTGACTCGTAGCAGAGAAAACTGTCCCTTCATGGGGAACAGGCTCCATGAGCAATAGATGCAGGGAGCCAGTGATGTTGCCTTTTCCTGGGACTGTGTCTGGCATCAAACAAGGCCCTCATGGTCAACTATGCTGCCTACATTCTACCTTTCACTTAGTCTCTGAAAGATGTTTTGGCTTTTCTAGTCCTGTGTCTTCACTGAAATGCTGATTCTTTATAATGAAAAGCTCCTTTATAGCCATAGATGTAGGATTAATAATGTCATTTTTAAATGTGATATAATGTTATGCAGCACACTGTAATAATGCAGAAAAGAGAAAAGAACAAATTAGCATAGCTAATCCATCAGAGAACTGATTCTAGGGTTGGGGGTAAAACTCCACAATGTATGTAAACTTGCAAGTTAATAAGACTAAAGTCTCTCAGAAACATAAGCTCTATATACTGTCAAAGGTAGCAGTACTAATGGAAAAAGATTCTGGAGAATGACTTGAGTACAAAACCTCTCTCTGTCATTTATTAAGCATGTGACCCTCAAAAGGTTATTTAATTTCTTTGGTTTTCTAATCCATAAAATGGCAACAAGAACGCCTATCATGTGTGGCTGCTGTGAGAATTAAACCATGTAAGCCTATATAGTGCCCAGTATATGATGAAGGCACACACAGTAATGTTAGTTTAGTATCTTCTCCAAAATAGATTTAAGTCTTTAGTATACAAAATTCATATAGCATATGAATAAATAGAAGTGTTTTATAAAAATAAAGATTGATAATGTCTGGAAACTTTTTGGTAGAAATGAACACAAAGATTAATTCAGAATTCTCTGCTTTTGCTGTGAAAACGTCTCATTTCAATGAACTACAAACTAATTTAGTAAGTTAGCATTCATAGTAATATATCGTTCAAAATACTTCATTATTGTTGCTTTATTATTATTGATAAAAATCAATAAAAACAAATATAAACAATACTCCAATTCCAAAATTCTAATACATTAAGATTATGTACACATGCAAAGTAAACACATTTTAAATATGTACTATTCATCTACACTGAATTTAAAACATCCCTTTAAGACTTTTTACCTTTTTACCTTACTTTCAGAACAAGAAGTTCAATTCTTTTTCAAAATGACAGGAAAGGTAGACTTATTTAGGATTTTTGTCAATATTATCTCTACCCGCTTTGCTGAGAATGATTAAAACCTTTTTCTAGGACATCACATTTTCGAAAACATCAGTAAGATCAGGTTATTGCAAGTAATAGTGTTTATTAAACCAAACACACTTGTATTCTGGTTTGTCTTCTGAAATTACACTAACAAATTAGCTAATGAACTAAAAAAAGTTTCAAATGAAAGCCCATTTATTCCCATACCTTACCGTTCAAAGCATGGCCCTATGTTTTTTGTAGTTCAACCTTAAATAAAAATAAAATACATATGTCATTAACCTAACAATTAATGTGAGTCAAAATAATGAGGTATTTAAATACACTAAGATGTGTTGGAAGAAAAGAATTTTTTAGGTCCCTAGCAGAATGGAACTTCCAAAAGATTTTGCTGGACTAACACGATTTGATAACCATTTACAAAACAGAGCATCACCTCTACAAATCCGAGGGAGTAAAAGTAGCTGCTTAGCGGCGTATACCTTAAGGATCCTGCATTTTCACTTGACTCTTGCCTGACCAAGAGTCAACATGCTGTGTTATGCGGCACACGTTAAACGCAACTATTTCAGATGACTATTCCAACTTAGAAAAAGCCATAGAAACATACTTGTTTGACTAAACGCAGATGAGATGTTCACTCTGCCCACTTGTTAGGCAGTGATAACGCCCGCAGCCCAAAGTTTTAAGAGAGTGTGGGAAAATGTGCTGACTATATTGCTGGAAGGGTTTCCCCAAGACACACGTCAGTTTTGCCAGTAGTTCACCTACCGCATTTCTATTCCTTCTTGAAAGTCATTTGTTTCAAATGATCCCTCTGCACCGTCCTACACGGTTGTAATTTAAGTTTGTCGGGTTTCTCTTTTGACAAGGTGAGACTTAGCTGGACAGTCGGTCTTTCTAGAACACCTCCAAAAAGTACCCACTTCATGTCTAACTATTCCTCTTCTATCTGGCTACTTCCACCTTCATTGGCAACTCATAAAGCTACCCAAACAGCTGTTGTCACAGTAGGTATTATTTCTGTCCAGAGTAAAGTCAGGAGCAAGTCAGAACTCTATTATTACTAAGCATGAGCGAGATGTTTTCTTTACACCGACTTACTTGGTAGCACACACACCCGCCCCGCAACTCCAGGGGGTCGCGATCGGCCACAGCTGGAGGCGTGGCCCGCGCACCCAGCCCGCGGCCGCCCGCGCTCCCGCCGTCACTCACCCGGCTGCTGCCACACTCCTCGCCCTCCTCCGGGGTCCGCGGCTCGGCGGGGCTCGGCGCGGGCTCCGCGGGAGGCGGCGGCGGCTCCAGCAGCTGCTCCAGGCGGGCGGTGCCCGGCAGGGAGGAGCTCTTCTGATGGCACAGGTGCGCCGCGGGGCTCCGACGCTGTGCACCCTCATCTCGGGCGCGGTCCCCCCTCGGGGGCGGTTGGGGCGAGGAGGACAGGGAGGATGAGGCGGAAGACGACGAGGGAGCCGAGTCTGGGGAGCGTCCGCCAGGAGGCGTCCCTCCTGCCGCTCCGGCGGCCGCCCCCTTTCCCGCGGGAAGCAAATGCTCGCGAATCCGGCGGCGCAGCCCGGACCCCTGCTCGGCTCTGCCCGCGCCGCCCGGCTCGAGAGGCTCCGGCGAGGAGCAGCACAGGTTGGGCTGGGAAGAGGAGAAGACGCGGTCCAGCACTTGCTTCTTTTTCATGAAGCCGCTCCACCTGCTGCCCGCGCCACCCACGCCGGCCAGGGCGTCCCGCCTGCCCCGGGGGCGCGGCGGGGAGGGCGACGGGGTGTCCGCAGTGCGGCGCTCGGGGCCCCCCGTGCGCCCGCCCCCGCCGCCCTTGCTCTTGCCCACCCCCAGCTGCAGGTTCCTCCAGAGCCGGGCCTGGAAAGAGGAGGCCACCGCCGCTGGCTCGGGCGAGCCCGCCGCGGCAGCCCGGGGCTCCATCCACCACCCCCTGCTCCTCCTCTCCACGCCTCCTCCGCCGCCGCCGCCTCCTTCTCCTCCGCCCTCCCCGGCTGCGCCTCCTCCCGGAGCGCCGCGGTGGCGGCGGCGGCGGGAGCAGCAGCCGACGCCGGTAGTGCCCGGCGGCTTCAGGCCAGCTCGGGGTGAAGGTGCGGCCGCCGAGGCTCTCGGGCCGCGGGACTCCGGCGCTGCCTCTTCCCCCCGCACCTGCCGGGGCGGGCAGGCGCTGATACCGAGTCCCGGCCGCCGCGCCGGCAAAGTTTCGAGCTCCGAGCTCCGCGGCTCCAGTCCAGTGGGGTCCCCCAGGCCGCGCCCGGCTCCCTCTCCTCGCTGGTGCCGGGCTCGCGAAGCTACACGCACCCGGGCGTGCGCGTCCAGCTGCACCAGGGACCTCACGCGGCGCCCTCCGGACGGCACCTGTCAGCGGCAGGGGCGCCTGCCTCCGAACTGGGCGCGCGCGCGACTCACACAACAGGGCGGATCCGGCAGAAGGCACCCGGACCTGCCACCCCGCGGGAGCGCCCCGGGACCATCCTCCAGCTCCTAGTCGGGAGGGCGGGCGGGCGAGAGCCGGGTGGAGCTGGGTAGGGACCGGAGCCAGCTTGCTCCCCAGGGCCCGGCCACGGTTCCTCACGCTGCTCGATCTAGGCCCGCCGCTGCACGTGCCCGCCGGCAAGCGTCTGGGTCCGATGAAGTGCACTAGACTGGAGATTTTCGCCTCCGGTGGGTCCTGTGGGGCACTGAACATCCACTGGAGAGGTGAATCCGACCAAGTTCTAGGGGCTGAACACCGCGGCTCCCGCCGCGTTGCTGGCCCTCGGTCCAAAACAAGAGCTAGATCTCTTCTGTCTTGATTTCATCCCCATCCACCCCTCCTTGCTCTTTATGTGCACATGCAGTGGTAGTTTCTCTTATAATGAGGATATCGAGGTTTCCAGAGTCGGACAGTAAGGCCTGCCCTAAAGTTGCAGGGAGTTTATGGTGGACAAAGATGTGGAAGCTGCACGCTGCCTCTCACCCATTCCAAAGGCAGAGAATCTCACTCTTCATTCAAGAGCATTTTCTTTTGGTTACTTCATATGCTTCTTTGTCAGACAAATGGAAAATACTTTTTAACTCATTCAGACTTGCCTTCTCCCAGATTCTACTTATCCAAGGGTCTTCTTATTCTACTAAATGAGACTCTTGAAAGGCAGGTGACACACTGGCCCTCCACACCCCCAAATGTGGAAAACATGGAAGAATTTCCTGAGCTCTGGCACCATGCTGTCTGATTCCAATCCACCTAGCTGGCAGTATGCCCTGGAGGTGTTACCAACCTCTCTAAGCTTTGAATGTTTCTATTTTTCTATTTTACCCTTTTAACAAATACTTAAGCTGAACTATGTACCAGACATTATAAGCTCTGGGAATGCAGCTGTGAACGAGTCTACCAGGGGCTCACTCTATGGAACCCATCTTCCCCCCCCAACCCAAGAGTCAAGCAATAAACAAAATTTCTAATACTAAGAAGTCCTGTGGGAAAATAAAACAGTACATAACAGTGTGGCTGGAGGTAGGTTTGCCAGATAAACTTCAGGAAACCCAATTAAATTTGAATTTCAAAGAAACAATACCTTTGAGTAAATGTATGTCCCAAATATTATACAAGATGTACTAAAATAATATTTACATTGCTTCTCTGAAATTAAATTTTAATGCATGTTTTGTTTTTATTTGCTAAATCTAAAAACCTGAGAGTTTGGTGTTTTGGTTTTTTTTTTAACTTTATGTGTACAGAGAGAATCTGAGAAGCTAAAATTTGACTTGAGTCTTAATGAGGACAAAGCCAGCCATTGAAAGATCTGATTACAGCATTCTAGGCAGGTGGAACAGCAGGTGCAAAGGCCCTGAGGCAGGTGGCAGCTTGGCTAACTAAGCATGTTAAAGGACAGATGAAGACCCCTCCATATAGAGTGGGGCAAAGTGAATAGCAATGGTAAGAGATGGAATGGAAGACATGGGCAGGGGCTGGGGGTCATGGGTCCTGTAATTGTGGTAAGAGTTTGATGCTCCTGTAAGTGAAATGGGGAGTCATTACAGAACTTTTAAGCATGAGAATGATTTGACATGATTTACTCACAGGGCTGTTTTTTTCTTTTAAGGTATCATTGATATACACTTTTATGGAGGTTTCATATGAAAAACATTGTGGTTACTACATTCACCCATATTATCAAGTCCCCCCCATACCCCTTTGATGTCACTGTCCATCAGTGTAGTAAGATGCCACAGAGTCACTACTTGTCTTCTCTGCTACACTGTCTTCCCTGTGAGCCCCCTCACACACACACCATGTGTACCAATCATAATCCCTCAATCTGCTTCTCCCTCCCTCCCCACCCACCCTCCCCCACCCCTCCCTTTTGCTAACAGCTAGTCCCTTCTTGGAGTCTGTGAGTCTGCTGCTGTTTTGTTCCTTCTGTTTTGCTTTGTTCTCAGGGCTGTTTTAAGGATTAAGTGAAAAAGGACTTAGCTCAGTGCCTGAGATTTTTCCACTGAGGCAATCGAGCTGAAAGTACCATGCCCATTAAAAATTACCTCAATATAGACCTGCTCTCTGATAGCCGAAAAAGAAACTGTGTTTCCCAGAAATCTTATTCTCTGTAATATAGGAAAAATATTTTGCTACTAGTTTTTCTAGCATGTGAAAAACAAAAGCACAGAGAAAAAATACAGGATTACTGTAGAGAATTAAGAAGACATGACCACTTTTTAGCAAAATTCTTTATAAATATATCAAGTTTGTTATAATTATCACATGGAGCCATGGATCCATGGAGATAACTCTACACAATTCAACCTTATATTCATAGTCTTTTATGACACATTTGACTTTTAAAGCTTCATGCTTTCATTTCTCTCTTCTACCTAATTTTGCCTTGAAAATGCTAACTCTTGAGATTTCAGATCCTGAAATCTATGATCCCAAATACCACTTATCCATCAATGTGAATCCATTTTTACAACCTGAAAGAACATAGGTAATTCCTAAATATTTGAAGTGGATTATCACATCAGAGGCTGTCCTACAAATTGTGCATTATATAAAGTTGCACTAAGCACTTTTTACAATAGCCAAGATAGGGAAGCAACCTAAGTGTCCATCAGTAGATGAATGGATAAAGAAGTGGTACATATATACAATGGAATACTATTCAGCCATAAGAAAGGAACAAATCCTACCATTTGCAACAACATAGATGGAGCTGGAGGATATTATGCTCAGTGAAATAAAACAGACAAATGCCAAATGATTTCCCTCTTTTGTGGAGTATAACAATGAAGCAAAACTGAAGGAACAAAATGGCAGCAGACTCAGAGACTCCAAGAATGAACTAGTGGTTACCAAAGGGGAGGGGTGTGGGAGGGCAGGTGGGGAAGGAGAGAGAAGGGGTTTGAGGGGTATTATGTTTAGTACACATGCTGTAGGGGATCAAGGGGAGAAGAGTGTAGCACAGAAAAGGCACATAGTGAATCTGTGGCATCTTACTACACTGATGGACAGTGACTGCATTGGGCTATGGATGGGACATGATAATATGGGTAAATGTAGTAACCACATTGTTTTTTCATGTGAAACCTTCATAAGAGTGTATATCAATCATACCTTAATAAAAAAAAAGTTGCACTAGATACGTCAATTGTCATCTTATATTTACTAGAAGATACTCACAAAAACTACAACACAAGGGAAAAGTGAATGGTACAAATTGATCACTGAGGGAATTCGGAGCAGTGAAGAATCACTTCTGCCTTGGCTAGTCAAGGAAAATTCTCATTGGAGGCATCGTCTGAGCTAAGATATATTATAAAAGAGAGTACAAAGTACACCAAGAAGATGGATTGCCACCCATAAACAAAAGCAAAATTCATGGCATGTAGCAAAACTTCAATAAATGGTAGTTATCCATTTTACTACAATTTACTAACACTTTAAATATTGATAGAGCATCTATTGTTTGAATTAATATGAAATAAATATATGCATCACAATATATGGGAGGTTGGGAAGCTAATGGGTAAGGTCATATTTAAGCAGAAAGCAAAAACTCAAAAGAAGTGAGGGAGGATATCAAGTAATGAATCTGAAGAAAAATTTTTCCAGGAAGAGGGAACATTACCTGCCAAGAGGCTGAGGCAGGAACTTACTCAGCGTGAGGAATGGCACAAAAGACGAAGCAGCTGGAACAGAGAGAGCAAAAAGGGAGTTGAAGATGCAGAAATGGCTAAGGCCCAGATCAAGAGGACTCTGTAGGTGGTATGGGAAGCACCTGAGGGACTTTGAGTTCTTTTATAATCCAACTTGCATTTTAAAAGATTCACTTTAGCTTCTATATTGACCATAAAGTGGGGGAAGTGAATGGGTGGAAGAGAGTTTAGATAGGAACTATCACTGTAACACATGAGGGGCAATGGCAGCCTTGCCTGAGATAGTAGGTGAGAAGTCAAAATGGTTAAATGGTAGATACACCCTGTATGGAAGACCGGTGTGATGGGACTGCTCCTAGTTTGGAAAAGGGTACAAGCATTATGCCAAATGGTTTGCATTAACTACCACTGTCATTCTAATAGCAACCCCACTTCACAGATGAAGGAACCACGTCTGAGACATGTTAAGTGATCTAGCAGGGTCACTCGCAGAGTAATTAGCAGATCCCAGGTGTACAGGAATACAAACCCACACAGCTTTTTAAATTTTGAAATGTACGCATCAACAAATAGAATAAAATAATTGAAAAAGGCCCCAAAACATAAATACTGATCCGTGTCCTTGCCTTGGGTAAGCAGTAAGACCATCTTTGACACAAGCCCAGCTTCCACTAGGTGAGATCAAGGACATAATTGCAAACACAAAACAACATTTCTAGGACTAACTGAGTTAAAGACCAACTAAGTGGCACTTAAGGAGCCCTCATGTCAGTGGGGCCCTGGCTGCTGTCCCAGCTGCCAGCACCAGGCCAGATGCCTTCAGGCCCTCATTTTCTCTCTCCTTCTCTGAAATAGGAAGAATAATA